GTATACATGTAATTTCGATCTCGCGATCGAAAATTAATGTATACTTGTAATTCATATATATATATAACCCTTATGATAAATAAACGTATATGCAGTACCGCATAAATAGATGGATTAGCGTATTTAAAATAAGTTCACCGTTTTATTTTAAGCTCTCTGTATCATACCATAGTTTCCGTATTTAATATCATTCATGCTTTGAAATTGGAGTACAACTTTAATTTTGATATATGTCATAATTCTCCTGTACTCGTTAGTCCTTTTATATAGCAGTAAGTCCTGATTCCATTGGTCGTTTTCCCTCAGCAATGACAGGATATATAAAATGCATGTCCGTTCCCACGATCCAATTTTGTCGGATCCAATTCACTTTCGACGTATGGAATGTCTACTTATAAGGCGTATACTGCGTTGGCGTCAACTTGACATCTAAACCTCTTTTGTAGTATAATAGAAACTCGGCTCTTCATTATAACCCTTATGATAAATAAACGTAAAATTTCTCAATTATTTACCGCATTCCATTCTACACATGCAATAGCGCATATGACTAGACTTTTTGGCTATACCGAATATAACAAAACTGCAATATTCATTTTCACTAACGTCAAAACTTTGTGGTTAAGACTTTGGATAATTTTAATCACTTAAATTTATGCTCAATGAAAGAAGTATAAGCATTCACTTCCTATAGTTCAAATAAACTAGAGTACGATGCGGGAGATTGACGTCTGTCGTCTCTCATGCATACATATAACGAAAAAACTATAGTTGCTGTTTATATCTGGACTTGGATTCTTAATATTAGTAGCAACTGTAGGCAAGTAAACAGACAAACCGTTAGTAGGCTACTAATCTTCACCACATAAGACGGAAGTGCTTCTTACATTAAATAAAAACGAGATCTATACTGATTTGTTGCTAAATTTCTAAGAATATTCTTAACCTTAGTGTCGTTATTGTCAACATAAGATTTAAGTTTGTTACTCAATGTGAGGACATTTGTCAATTGCTATATAACCAACCATATAATTTAGGCTTAATTTTCACTTCGCGCGATTTCATGTGCCGAGTCTGTTATATCTCCAATCGCAAATAAACAAATATAGGAAAAAAGAAATGAAAAAAATGTTTCTTGGGAATAAAAGATGGTGTGGTAACAAGTCTAATTTATAAAATTGTTATATATAAGTAGGTGCCAGCAAATATATGCTTCATAACGATATGTGCACGTGATTAATGCGTATGTGCATTCACCACTATGAGGAAGTTTATGCAATGTTTACATAACATCCCGTCCTTTGTAAACATTTTAATAAACTTTTTATAAATATTAGACCGAGGTCTTTTTGACAGACCGAGCTCCAATAGGTCCGTATTTCCCGGTAGGTCGAGCAAGCGGGGTTAATAAAAAGTTTATATATGGCACAAGGCATATATTTATGCACTCGAAACTAACAATCAAGAAATGCAATTCGTTTACTAGCCTGGTACGCATTTGATAAAAACCAAAATAAAATATTCTATAATTTAGTTTACTGTCTGAAGACGCCTTATTAATTTCTAAAAGGAATTAAATTTTCTCTTGAGCATTTATTGGTTTCTTTTTCATCCAGAATTACTCTGTTTTTCATCTCGCAATTGATCAGCAGTAACGCCGGTCTATTACGGCAGTTTTCAAGAAATGTAGTGAAAATAAGCGGGTCACTATATCAAGGAAGCAAACAATTTTTTTTACAATTTTTCAAAACAAAATTGACCTAGTATATTGTTTGAGAATGACTCAGTTTGAGTTTAATCAATCTGTAGAATGTAAAAGCTTATAGAATAACGGAAAATATGTCAAATTTTTCTCCCGCCTATATCAGGGATAACTCGCTCCATGTAAACTTGCTCTTAGATTAACTTAAAGATTCGTCGTGATGGCCTTGGAAATGAATCCTAAAACAAATCATATCATGAAAAATATAGGCTAACCACTTCTGCACAACATTTTTACTGATTTATTTCCAAAACACGGCCAGATTTACAAAAATAACAAAAATCTTGCACCCATTTTAAAAGTTCTAAAATTGGCGCACAGCATCACGGTAATTTTGAGCGCTAGTTTCTCGATAACCTAAAAAATCTCAAGCCTAAATTCAGAGTGGCTAAAGTATACAGACAACGTAAAAGACGACAAGTGAATAAGCCGCGAAAGACAATTATAAGAGCGAATGTTTTTAAATTATACATACGTAGAATAGATTTTATTTATGTAAACATGTATACGATGATAATATCGTTTCATATACCAACCAACTTTTCAACCAACTTCACAACAACAGCAATAAAAATGGCGGGAGAGTGTCCCAAACTCGTTATGTCACTCCTAACGTGACATACGGAAAATACGCGCACTGTACCCCGTGCATGGATATAGAGATTACTTCATGGTTGGCGAGTGCGTACGATTTTTATGCACGAGTTGCGAAGGATCGCAATACGAACGAGTGAGCGCAGCAACGAGTAAGCTTGCGATCCTTCGCAACGAGTGCATAATAAAAATCGTACAAACGAGCCAACCATGAAGTAATTTGTTTATTAAATGTGTATAGAGATCAATTTGACAACGACACGCTTTTAATATACAAAAACACAGTGAACAACAAAATCGAAACTTTATGCATGAAAACATATTTATTACCGTTCCGTTTCTTTGTAATTTTGTTCAATAGAAGTTAAACATTCTTTCCGAAATATTTGAGATGTGCTGAATGTAAAAATATCGAGAATATGAGAATTATGTTTTGAATCTCACTCCTATATTTCGACGCCATCTTGAAAGAAAATATAAACAAATTGCCGCCAAAATGACATACGACAATTTTTCACGTGTGAAGAATATCGTACGTCCAATCAAAAGCCGTGTATGGCATTTTTTCACACGTGAAAAACATCGTACGTCCAATCAAATTGCATGAAATTAATTTACACAGTGAAATGCGATTTTTATTTCATCATTCTGCTGTGCATAAATCACTATACACATAAAATCCCCGAACCGGTGCGAAGCACCGGGCGAGGGTACTAATTCCGCCCGGAAATTTTGATTACACCCGGGAATGCAAATGCAAAATGAAAGTTGTCCGCCATTATGTCATCGACGTTGGGCGTTTTTGTAAGTTATGCGCATGCGTGAGTTTAAGACGAGATAAAACTGGTAACCAGCAAACGTTTGCAAGCGTGCGATTGGCTAAATTAAAATTTTGGTTCGCGTCAGCATAACTGATATTTTGAATTATACTTTTTAAAAAATATTTTTCATTTGGATGGTTTTGAAAATATACAGAAAAATTCCCTCGTAAAAATGATTAAAATGTAAAGTAGATGATGCTTTCGGATAGAAAAACTTTGATTCAAATAGATGGTGAAAAATCTACGATTTTAAAGCATTTTTGGAGTGTTCTTGAACAGGTAAATAGGTAGATTTTGTATTTTAGAGCATGCAAGTATTTCGTAAGTTTAACTTATAAATTTATGAACAAACGTACGACACCTCGAATTTATTCGTCAATTTCGTTAAAATGATTTTGATTGGGAAAACATTTATTTTTAAAGGTCAATCTGTTTAAAAAGGAATTGAAATTTCGCTAAAAATTGTACTATTTAAAACTATTCGTACCACAATTAATGAATTACGATTATAGTTGAATGTGATAGCTCGAGAGTCGACCTTATAATTGTACCAAGATATAGGATTTTACTTACACGGCTTCGATCATTCAGCAGAAACCGCGAGTATCACAGAATTTCAGTGATGGAAATATAAGTTTATTGCTTCAGGCGAGGGGACTCTGCATGCAATGTATTTCTAGTAAATACTATAATTTTTATATGGTGTATGAGTTCTACGAGTGTTTTCGTCCTCGGTAAAATACCGCCATCCAAATAATAAATAAATAAGCGACATTATTGGCTAAGGCAATCTATGCAATCACTCGAGTGTTTAAGCACTTTATTCACACTTTCATTCATTATATATATATGTCAACAAAGATCTATAAAATTAAATGACTAATTGAGAATTTTGAGATTAATGGCTGAGAGAGAGAGAGAGGAAAAGAGAGAGAGGGAGAAAGAAAATGCATGCATGCATGAAGACGAGTCCTCTGAAGTTTGCTGGTTTCAAAAAGTTGTAGTTTTTTTCCCTTTTCAATTATTAGATATTTCAGTGAAGTGTCGTGGTCAACATGCAATGAGACTTCAAATTCGCACATGCATTTTGCAAGCATAGCGTGACATTTTTCATGAATGTAGAACAAGGTTTTATTATAACGAAACCAAACATTTAATACGTATTAAATTTTCAATGAAGGATATTTGAGTAGCGTAGCGAGCCTGACAATTTGTCCCCTTATGCTAATATTTTTGTGTTCATTGATTGTGAAAACAATGAATTTCTAAAGACATGAAAAATTATTCTCGAAATTTACATAGCGGGACAAAATGGTAAGGCTGGCTATGCAATCTCATGTCAAAAACTAGTCCCTCTAAGAAGTCGACCGCGATTCGCGAATCGTATGACTATTTAGCAGGTCAAGGTCTCGTTCGCTAGCGAGACTCAAATTTATAGGGGTGATCTATTTGTATATCTCAGATTGTGTTGATTATGTTAATAGATTGTTATAACAATGGATTTGGAAAAAAATTGATCAAAGGCAAAATGAATTTAAAAATATCTGCCGCTGCCTCCAATTATCGTGCTTCCTATTCGTCAGCGTTACAAACTTATATGTAACACTATAGTCATAGTGTCGTACTAGAAATTATTCTAAAGTCATGCTCTTAAACTTTAGCACTTCCAAACTGTATGGATATTACTAGCGAATTTACTCTCGTGCAAAAAATACTGAATTTAATACTAAACTCTAATTATGTTTTTCAAAAAGATATTTAGTTCGATTAAAAGAAGATCTTTCTCAAACGTAAGCACTTTCATTTCTCACAGTTACATGATCTTAGATATTAATCTCTCTTCGAAAGTCTTCGCCCTTTACTTGATGCAAACTGATATACGATTTCTGAAAATAAATTTATTGTTATCTTAATGTAATATTAGTTGTATAATCGTTACATAGATAGCTGTAACAGTTGGGCATGCCCATATCCTCAGCAAAATCGCAAGTTACATTGTAAAGAAATCAAACTGGCTTCCACTTGCGACATGTATAAGCGTAGGGATAAGAAAAGGCAAAAAGAAAAACAATGAAACGCAATGAAACATGCAGCACTCGAATCGACATTTGCCCTGAATTTATAAAACATAAGCCAGTGAAAGACAAAATAAATTTCAAATGAATAATTCTCCTGATTTTTCTTTTACATATACTTTATTTAAGTCGGAATGTTTTTTCTTTTAAGCTTATGTTATGCATTAGTGAAAACCATGCAGGCTTTATAGTTCTATGTATATGAGCTTACTTGGTTATCAGTTAACATGTCATGAAGATATTGCCGTATTTCCGAGAAATTTGGTCGCTTTTTTTCATCATCGCTCCAACAGTTCATCATTATTTCATATCTGAATAGAAATGAAAGAAAATTTTGGTCCTAAAGGGATATAGCAACAAAAAGTATTTCTAATTTGTTGAAAAGAAAATTGACACTTTTTATAAAACTTCTTAAAAATTACGTGACGTAAAAAGCAGGATTGCTGTTAAAAAAATAAAAACTATAATATGTTCACGCTTTAGTATGGAGCAAATATAATTTTTATTCCTGTAACCCTCAAAGGGAATTTTGAAATAAATAAGCGGTCTTAGCGAAATAAATAAACGAGGGTATTTCTGCAGATTGCTAAAAAAACTCATCTTAGCTACTTACATTTCATTTGAGCAATTAAATGGTTTCGACAGTCGGCAACCAGAATTGATGTGATTTCGCATTTCAATCGGAGATATCTCGCTGTATGGTTCCCCACCTGTAAAAACGTTATCATTGTTAAAAAGGTTTAAAAAAATATACGCAGCATGCATGCGTATTATATATATTCACTTGATTATATCACCATTATGGTTTGAAGGAGACTATATTTAAAAATTAAATAATAATTCGTGTCATGCATCTCAACGGGTTTATGTATTCTATATAAATAGCGGATACGCTCTTTTTTGACAGCCTTAGAAAGAGAAACAGTAAATGGGGAGGAAATTGGACAGGCAAAAAATCGCAAGGGTATAGAAGGGTAACAGGTAATTCCCAGCTGTTTAGAAAGAATTCATTGTTTGTATCCATTGTGCAGGGCAAAACTCCTTCCGTTTTATACTGCAACTATTTTCGGCACTGCGTGATACTCGATGAATACCTTTATTTTTGTGTTACTGTCAATATAGCAATAACTCGAGAAAATATTCGAGAGACGTGCTAAACCAAAAATGGCTAAAAATGTCTTATGTGGAATATTACAAATTCTTATCACAGCTTTTAATGCATCATCCATGCATTTTACGTCCCGAAAGATTCATAAACATATTGCAAGTTCGTATTTTCTCCACTAAAAAATTTAGTATATAGATACACTTACCTAAGGTTACCAATTCATGGAGAAAAACGCCAAAACTCCATCTAAAAATTGTATTAAAAATTCTTGTCAAATTTAAAAAGACCTTATACCGACAGTTATATTTGAACTTACACATCACTAGCTGTTGTGAAGCGACCATAAAGTAAACTTTCCAAAGCCATCCATTTAATAGGTAATAAATCCTACAAGAATCATTGCAACAAATTAATTTTAAAGACTTATTTGTAGTTTCATGAAAGGAAGCTACCTACCCGAAAACTTTCGGTTAAACTATTTCCTATCATATATTATACGTTCACGTCCAAGCCTAAACACCATTACCCACGCTCACTTTAAAACCTAGCTTCAAGTCGCTTATTTACCAGTGACGTTCGCACGTATACATAGCTACAGAGAAGCTAGCTACATTTTTTTTGTTATTACCAGGAAATATACGACAGACAATATAGACATTTTCGGTAAAAGTTTGGAATAGTGAACTGATGTGTATAGGATATACAAGAGCCTGCTTGGCCGCATGCGCAAAGTTCTTTCTATTAAGAGTCTCCGAAACTTTTTTCACTATCATTGCTGGTTAACAGTTGCCAATTGCAGGGTATAAAGCTGGTTCAATTTTGCATTTTGTTTCCTGAACTGCATTATTCAATAACCTTCAGCACGAAGCCCGTCCGTAGTATGATTTTAGTTTCTGAATAATATTTATTTAAAAATAATTATACCTGGTTTGTTCGTATGTATTCCTCAACATTAGCAATATCCCTTGTCAGCCCGAAGTCTGAAATTTTTGCCACATCACAGCTAAGGAGAATATTTCTTGCAGCCAAATCACGATGAACGAACTGAAATGCATGAGGGCTTTTAAGGTGGATTGATAAATTGCCTTTCTTTTTATAATCATATTGATTGCAGGATTTGCAGGGAGAAGTTACCGTGCATCCCATCTTAATATAGGCGATCTACGTGTATTACACATACCCACTCGTTTTATTTTTTTCAATAATACCTATTTTTATACAGTAGAAACTAAATAATTATGTTTGATATGCTGAATAAGTCGTTTGAGGGTAAAATATTGCAACGAACTGTCTAACTTTGAAATTGTATTCAACAAATATGTTCACCTTTAGATCGGAAAGATGCACCATTCCACTTGCTACATCCATACACATTTTTAATAGTTCACGACCACTTACAGTCGATATTATTTGAACATTTCGCAAGTCAGGTGTAATGGAGTTGTCACCGACTTTACTTTTTCTGAGAAAGGTTTGTAGATTACCTGGAGAGCAGTACTCTGTTACAACCATTAGTTTCCCTGAAACAAGGAAACATTATCCGTCATCTAACAATAATTTAGACAAACTCAAAAGCTATACTTCAAATTATAATTTCCTAGTTCGAATTCTTAGCCAAAAGCACATACGAATATACTCTTTAATAGAATATTTACACGTATTACCTTTCGAAAAACAACATCCGATCAATCTTACAATATTTGGGTGTAGGTCTTTGTTAATTCTTTTCAAGGTTTCTAACTCAGTTATCAGATCTGATAGATCAAGTTCCGTGGCGTTTTCTAAACAAAAGTGTTAACTAAGAGTCTAAGATTTCATTATAACGAGCAATAAATACAGTTGTGAAATTTGTGAGTATCATGTACAAATCGTTGCGCAGTGGGCTGCTGCTGCCCAACAAGACAGGGATTTTAGATTATAGCTGTATTAAAAATTCATAAAAAGTTAAAGATTTTTTGATAATAAAATCCCATATTATATACCTTTTAACATTTTGACAGCAACCTTTTTTTGTCCTTCTTCCAGAAGAGACGTGTATAACCCTTGCTTTACGATGCCAAATTGTCCTGATCCAAGTGTCTCGTCCAAAATCTGCAAACGGTCTGGGCAGATTTCCCAGTCTTTTAAGATCGTAATGTAGGAAATTTCGCCTGGCAGCGGTACTAAAACGTTAAATTATATCATAGAATTATATTGGCATTATATGCAAAAAATACATCAAAAATACGATAGGCAATGCCTAAAAAAGGCGTTCACAAAAAATTACCATTATATTTGTTTATTTCCCCAAAAATAACGAACCCATCTTGTGTGGTATGTTCACTTTCCTGGCGGGACTGATATTCCTACCATAGATAAATTACATAATCCTTAACAGGATCTTTGTGAAAAAGACCTGTATTTTCATTTGACACACCTAGCTCTCATGAATAAATAAAATTTAGGGTCAGAGGGAGGTCTTACTGAGGTTACTTGAATTTGACTTCCTTTATGTCTTCTTCGCATCAAGAAAAGATAAATAATCACTGCAAGACCAACGAATGTGACGGTTCCGGCTGATCCTCCTGCAATAGCAGGCATATTGCTGAGACTTCTTAGCTTCAGGGGTAATAGTTTCCTCGGTAACTTCACTCTGTATTGTTACATTGTAATAGTAAGCAGCTTCACCAACAATGCCAATATCAACAGCCTCGATTTTTATAGTGTACACTCCAGATTCATCTGAAAAATAAACAGGCCTGAAGAAAAAGGAAGAAATATTCGATCACGGCTATCAACCAGGATCTACATAAGCGTAAATTGCCGAAAGCAAGGCTACGCATCCGTAGAGATTAAATAAAAAAAAAAAAAACGAAAATAATGAAACTACATAAAAATTGAAAGAAAAAAGTTCAGAAATAATCTCTGCAATATTCCACAAGGGCCTAAATGGGGCATTCTAGGTCAATTGCATATCCAAGTTTATCTGGAATACTTTTTCAAATACTATTTCTACTTCAAAGTATTCCAATGCAGGAACATAACGAGGGGAAATATGTTTCGCTCAGCTTCTCAATGATATTAAGGTGGTAAATGTATTCTTACTTCCAAAATCGTGGATAAACAGACTCGTTGCAACCTGTGGTTTCCGAAAAGTATCGTTTCCATTTTTTCTCAAAGATACTAAGTAGTGATCAGCATGACCAGCAAAAACTTCCGTTGGCAACCATTTAACGATCATAATGCTTCTATTAACAGCCACTGAAATATTTTTGGCTTACCTGGCGATGGGCCTAAAAAATTATTGAAAATATCTTCGTAATCATAATTTTTTGGAGAATGGCCTTAAAATCGGAAAATAACTTAAAAAGTTCGTTTGAATTTCAATGGCAATGCAAAAGTTGATAACATTTTTTTGTTCCGATTCTTTAGAAGAAAGAGTCTAGAAATACCATAAGCGCAGCCAGCACTATAATTGGGGGGATTGTTCATATATTCATGGTACGTATGATTAATTTCTTTTCAAATTGTTTGTCATTACAGTCTGTTAACATGAATTAATAATTATATATGAATATGTCTCCCAACTTTATTTATCGATGATGGCTATACGCCACTGCATACCATGTGATAGAGGGTTTAAATCATAGCCACCAGGGTAACCAAATGAAGATTTATAGTTCCATCCAAATACAATGAGACCGAACTTTACCAAGGAAGAAGTGTGATATATTGCAACCTTGCTTAGATCTGGCAGATTTATCACTGTCCAAACATATTTCGATGCATTGATGCCTTTCCAATATAAATCACTCAATTTCAGCCCATCCGCATGTAAACCATTGACGTTTTCCTTTTCTATAACTATTGTGATGGAGTAGGAAATTTGTGAATCAAACGGGAGGGCAACGTGATATAACGAAAGAAACTGGTTTACTGCAGAAAGAGCCATCATTGACCATATTCTATTTTTCCAAAAAATTGATTCGCTTCGGATATACTGGACAACTTGACATGGCTTATTGCACTTAATATATGAAGCTAAATCTTTATTTAGGGTCAACTCCACGTATGACCCAGATGACAACACTTTTGTCCAGTATGAACATTGGACAACAGTATTATTTTGTGATGCAAAAATACGAAAAATGTCTCCGTGTTTTTTTTCCGTTGTTCCTATTGTTGTCAAGATGTATTCATAGCCCCACAAATAAGTCGGCAAAAGGGTTGTTTCTAGGAAACTGTATGATCCGCGCAATCTGCGATCATCAACGCCTGATATCACGGTCAATGGTGACCTTGAAACAACGAGTGTTCCAGATAAATCCTTTTTACTTGAGACGTATAACACATCACGTTTTCTAGGATACATATATATGGTACGCCTTCTATATTTATCAATTATCTCACCGTTAGAGCGATAAGTTATATTTTTCCCGGTAGTAATCATAACACGAAAGCTATGCACTGCTGGTATGACAGCAAGATTTGAAGTACAATTAGTGCAAAATGGTAAATATGATGCTGCATAATAGGCAAAACCCGTGGCGTTATATAGAGTTGGTAACGCTAAACTTCCTTCAAATTTGAGACTGTCGCCGATATTTAAGCACAGAACTGAAATATCTCCGGATGAGATAATCTGGATACCTCTCTGGTAACTTATTAGTTCCCTCAATCGCCACGAATTTGGCAGTTTCTGCCTTAAAATTCCTCCTTCTTTAATGAATTTTTTTATATGCATTGGCGTTCCTGTCTGTTCGCTAAAAATCGTCACGTTTGTTTCTTCAAGAGCTGTAATAACTACGAATATGTAGTCGAATTCACGATACCCATTTCGAGATGTAAATGTGACTAAGAAGTGTTTTCCATAACTAGTCTGTGTACCTGGAAGAACGTATAATTGATTAGACAAGCTCATCTTCGGGAGAGCTTTGGAAACTACATATCAGCTGATATATAGCAACAAATCCGGGCGTGCTGATGTAAGTAAGGGGGGGGGGACCTGGGGAATACAAATGTTCCGCATAATGTCAAGTGATTAGGTTAACTTCTTGTATAGGGATATACGATATTTTTTAATTCAGTCAAAATAAATTGAGCGAGTGTATGTTTGGAGCCGACGCGAGCTTGGCACATTGTTGGTACGCTCCATAGGTGGTTTTAGCTAAGAAGAATTTACCACAGATATAAGTTTAGTTTGCATTTAACCCATTCACAATAATATGATGGAGGCAGGGGCATAGCTCCTTTTTATTTGGCACAGAAGCGGTTTGGCTATTCGACTAGTGTGATTCGAAAATTTTGAACACAGTTGTGCAAATATTAAAATAATTTTGTGCTCTTTTACGCCAATGAATGCGTTTTTACGCCGTTCTCTTCCACGCCAATAATCCATCAAAATTTCATTTAACCCTACTCTAAGTTTCAGGCTGAACTCGACTAAATTCAGTGGATAAAATGTGGCGGAATGTTCCCATGATAGGTACGTAGTTGAAAGACATAAAAGCGACCTTAATCTGACCTAAAAAAAGCCGCAGTCCTACCAAAACATAGTTATAATTGCAACATGTACAGGAGTATTTTACTAGGAACTAAAACACTCGTAAAATTCATACGGCACTATACATTCGCGACAAGGTACGCATGCATCCGAATGTCACAATCAGAATATTTATAAACGAATTTCTAAAATTTCCCGCCTTGTCGTGAAAATACAATTGGTCTTGATTTGTTTTCAATTCAAAACTTTGAAATATAACGAGGACACTTACAACATATCTTTAGGCAAGTAAAATTTTTTTACTTTTTATTAGTCATCCTCGTACATAAAACCCATAACTTCCCGCAACCCTTTGATATCCTAATCATGATGACAGTGCATTACTAATTTTATAGTGTGCAGTGATAACCAACTTGTGCAATGATAAAAGTAGAATGTGCAGTGATAAAGTGAGAAATGTGCAGTGATAAATGGTATTTTCTCAACAGACCTCACTCCTGCCGAGGTGGATTCATAAGTAGTTGCCCACCAAAATGCTAGAAATAATGTGATAAGGACTGCAAAATACAGAAAATTTTCTGCAAGTGGTCCTGCAGACCCCCTAACATTATAAGTCACCAATTTCCAGTTAGGACCATTTTTTCACGCCCCTCTCCACTATACTATTGTGATGACATATGCAGTGATAAAAAATTCTTAGAATTAGCTATGTTAAGTGGATCTTGCGAATGAATGATATATATATATATATATATAAATATATATATATATATATATATATATATATATATATATATATATATATATATATATATACATCATATACAGCAGTCCATGCTGTAAGTGGCCATGCATGTTGGTGGTCTCATGCAGTTTAGTTTTCAGGTAATTATATAGACCAATTGCGAAACTTAGTAACCGCGCCTTCGCTCAACATGGAAACGAGGCTTATTATGCAAAAAACAATATTGATATTTTTTGTAGTACAAAGCTATTCGCCGAGTTATATGCCGTTATTCGCCTTTGTTTTACATATTTTTCGATACCTTTCAGCTTGGTTTCATCGTTGTTATCATAGTTTTCAGGTTAGGAAGTTTTGCCTTTCAATTGATGCGTTTTTGTGGTAATTTCATTAATCTTTTCGGCTGCTTTCGTCGGGGAAGTATGGAAAAGGCCGACACAAACTCAGGTAAAAATTTAGTTTTTCCAAACTATTTCGCCTCAAGTTTTGAAAATGTATTTCATTTTTCTCCCTCTTATTTGTGCAAAATTTGGCGATATATATTTGGTGCAATATCTATGTTTTTTATGTCAAAAATTATTGAAAAGTGACAGTCAGATTATATAATTTTCAAACCTGGTGACTTAAATGGCTTCATTTATTCAAATTTATTCACAAATATCACTGTATTTTTTTTTCTTTATACCACAGTAATACTATTAAAATGGTCGAAAGTAACTGACTGAAATGTTTTTGTTTATTTTCGTTTTAAAAAGTACAGACGATGCATAGCTTGCATGCCGGCCTGAAGACCGAATTTTATAAAAGTCGAATTCGAATGCATCTGAGTTTGCATCTGAATTCTGCATTTTTGTTAGTACAAAACACTATTCTTTCTATCTACTACCATGCAATAGATGTTTAATAAGGGTTAACCAGGAATACTTGAAAAGGAAAGGATTCCGTTCACCATCGTAAACGGAAAAACACTTGCGAACTCCGGTTTAAATATTTTCGCTTTCGGCTTTGCCATCATGTAAAGGTGTATCTTAAAAAACGCTGCAGCTCGCATTTACTACCTTTATAGTATGTTATTGCGGGAAAAGGAATATTCAAATGGCAATTCAAAATAGACAATGATATTATGTCTTGGTTATAAGTATTTTACTATCCATGTCATGCATGTGTGCCAAGTTGAAGAGTTGTTTTGCTTTTCAGTCGGCATCACATCACATGTACTGTACTCTGTAGTCTATATACACAGGGAAAATAAACATAAAACTCCGTTGCTTATTTTATCTCTTATAGTTTTTGTCAACAGATTTCTACTATTTTTTTTGCTGAGCTGTAAAATTGCTGTCAAATTACATCTTATCGATCGATAAAATTGGTATAAAAAAATTTTAGATGAGAAATTGAACATGGTGGTTTGCTCGATCGTGACTTTTCAATAATTTTTGACATAAAAAACATAGATTTTGAACCAAATATATATCGCCAAATTTTGCACAAATAAAAGGGAGAAAAATGAAATACATTTTCAAAACTTGAGACGAAATAGTTCGGAAAAACTAATTTTTTACCTGAGTTTGTGTCGGCCTTTTCCATACTTCCCCGACGAAAGCAGCCGAAAAGATTAATGAAAACACCACAAAAACGCCTCAATTGAAAGGCAAAACTTCCTAACCTGAAAACTATGATAACAACGATGAAACCAAGCTGAAAGGAATCGAAAAATATGTAAAACAAAGGCGAAAAACGGCATATAACTCGGCGAATAGCTTTGTACTGCAAAAAATACAAATATTGTTTTTTGCATAATAAGCCTCGTTTCCATGTTGAGCGAAGGCGCGGTCACTAAGTTTCGCAATTGGTCTATAGATCAGTATTTTGCCAGAAGACAATCCTCGATTGCTTTTACTCCATCAATCAACTACACAAATAATCTTACAGATTCGGCTCGATTATAATAACACACTTATAAAAAATTGATAATTTGAGTAGAGGGTAAGATAAAGAATGACCAACTTATCGATGTTTGCGACACCGTTTACTTCGAATACTTCAAATACTCGTTAAAATATTGTTGAATATTTAATATTCAAGTCATATTGCATTATAATTATTGCATCACGGCAACTGAGCCAAAGGAAATATTTTTGGCGATCAAACAAAATTACTCTACGAATTTGATAAATTTTATCACATTGAAAGACACATAAGACGTTAACCTCTTAAGCATTTTCTAACATGGCTGCATGCGTTTGTATGCAAAAACTGGCGAGAATAGGCCAAAACGACGCTACGTGACGTCAGGAACCATGCAACAATATCCCTCATTACACTTACCTCTGAACCTCGACTTGTAAGACGGAATTTGCGATAAAATTGGCTTTTCATCTGGAGAAAAATATTCAAAAACAACATTATTCTATTTTTTTTCCAATTAGATCCAAGTAAAGCGAAGTTGCATGCACGTGGTAAATCTAACCCGTTTTCGGCTCAGTGCTTTCCAAGATGATAGGAAATATTGGATTTTTTTTGCTGTAAATTTATGCTTTCATGCAGTTGATAGTTCACAAAACTGAACATCAAAACAATTCAACGTAGCTGAGAAAACACACAACTAGACAACAGAGTTTACCCTAATTTGATTCATACCGCACTGTAGCTAAAGACTATAAGTTAACGTAGAGCTATTATATAGCATAATGATTTTGGAGCAGGC